AATGTTGATAATTAACTTTAATTAAAATCTTGATCCTGTAACTGATCGAAATAAACATCATTTGCCAATGTATTATTGTTGGAAAGTATACTCTAATGCAATCTTCGCAGTAACTATTATTCGTTACCAATTAATCAGATGACATTGATTCTGAGCCATCATATAGAGTATGTCGAGAAAATAATTAATAATACTCACAAAATAATACTCACAATCTTTAATATTATTGTTTTTTAATTTACAAAATTTTGTAAGGTAGAATTTTTTAAAGTGTGTTACTTTTAATGTCACTCAAATTTTTCAAATGTGTTACTCTTTCAACGAAATAATTTTATTATGAACAAACTGATGTGGAAAATCAAGCCTTTTACTTTATTATCGTCTTGTACATGAACGGTATTTTATATAACACATAAACTGATATATCATGAGTGGCTTTAACATTTTATGAACATTCCCATGAACTTTTAACCTTTTTTAAAAAAAAAGACTTTCGTTCCACAGTCCACTCTCGTACCGACCGGAGATACGTCATACCTACACTTTTTCCTGGACATACTCATTAAGAGAAGAGTGCCAGTGATGTTGATAGGTGCAGCTGGTTCGGGGAAAAGCGTAATCGTTGCTGAGAAATTGGGCTCCCTTCCCGATGATTACAGCATTGCTAACGTGCCTCTTAATTACTACACCACTTCTGGTAATTGTTGCTTCCTCCACTTTGATGTTAGTTTCTTCCAAAATAAATAAATGCAATCGAATCTTTCGATTTTTTTTATACTACGTTTTCGATTATATCGTTCATAGTCCTGTTTACACATTTGTTTTTCGTTTATACTATATTTCATTTTAAACAAATATTTCGTAATGTTAGGAACATTGTTATAAGCTTTTTTTAAATTATTACACATCTACAATTTATTCACTTTCTATCAAATAGCGAAAATAATATTAATATTTTCAAAGTTATATGTATAGTTTTTCATTATCAACTTTTTCTCTCTATTTGTATAAGATGAATATATACTATTAAACTGTAAAAGCAATTTTTATGTTCATAATAAATATCAATCATTATAGTCGATAAGAAAGTAATTGAGTATAATTTATTTAAGAAATGTTACAAAGAAGTATGGAGAAATATTTGGAGAAAAAGACAGGTAGAAATTACGGACCACCCGGTATGAAGAAGCTAATATATTTTATCGACGATATGAACATGCCTGAGGTCGATACTTATGGCACTGTCCAGCCTCATACCATTATTCGGCAACACATTGATTACACTCACTGGTATATACAAGATATTGAAATAAATATTTTCTTATCGTTCATTTCACTTGTTCACTATCAAATTAGTATGAAATATATTATTTTAAAACTATTATTTTATTAATAAATTATAATAAATTATTCGATTTTACTAGTAAAATATATTCAATTATTATTTTACTAGTATGCTATATTAAATTATTATTTTACTGGTAATCTATATTAACTTACTATTTTACTGGTAACTTATAATATATTATTGTTTCACTAATAAACTATATTAAATTTATAATTTACTAGTAAACTATATTAAATTATAATTTTGCTGGTAAATTATATTAAGTTATTATCTCGCTGGTAAACTATATTAAATTGTTAAACTATACTAAATCGCTTAACTATTTCAAAAATTAAGGTACGACAGATTGAAACTATCTTTAAAGGAAATTCACCATACACAGTATGTGTCCTGCATGAATCCCACGGCTGGCAGTTTCACGATAAATCCTCGTCTACAGAGACACTTCGCAGTTTTCGCAGTCAGGTGAATTTCATATACGAAAAATAATTAAACTTACAATCTGGTTTTTGGTTATACATAACGCAATTAATATAACGTCCTTATTAGAGTTTACGGCAAAGTGTTTACAGATAAATTAATTTACCCTAAAAAGCAGCTAGTTAAGTATGATATAATAAGTATAATAATTGAATCCCAAGAGTATATTTAGGCTACAAATGAGTATTGTTAAAATTGACATACGATTGTGAAATTACAGAAACTTTCTTGCAGACAATATTGTAGACAAAGAATACATGATTAATTAGAACATATGTTTACGGAAAACATTTTTTATTCTGTTGTTAACGACAACAACAACAACAACAATAAAAATAATAAACTGTGCATATTGAAAATGTAACTTGTCATTGCAGTTTTCCATCCGAGGATAACTTAATAAGAATCTATAGCCAGATACTGGAGCAGCATATAATGAATCCTTTCAATAAATTCAACCCGTCCTTGGCAAATATTGCAGAAAGTTTAATGTCAGCGGCGTTATATTGTCATAATAAAATATCAACAACATTCTTGCCAACCGCAATTAAATTTCATTATGTATTCAATCTACGCGACCTTTCAAATATATTTCAGGTAAGAATTTATTATCAATATTTATCAACAATATAATATATAGTTACGCAGTACTTTCTTTTTATGTGTTTAATTTTTATTAACATAAAATAATCGGTCATAAGTAGACTGCGAATTTTATGCATTTGTTACTAAAATCAAATACAAAACAGTAAAAACATTTAATCCTTTTATAAACACAGGATTATGCTTCCCACTCACTTTTAGCGCGCATATAGACCACCAGGCTTAAATATTCCCAACATTGTGAAAATTCTTATTGAATTTAAATATTCTTGAAAATTCATATCGTGCCCATGAAAGGGTTAAAAAGAATTTGAAAATACTATTGCGCTATTTTCAACATGATAAAATAATTGAAGAATAAAGTAAATGTTTTTATGTAACTTTGGTATCTTATAAATAATACAGACAATTTCTATTTTGCACTAAAAATCCGCAGTCCAGTCGTGACGCTGTGCGAACTGTTATCAGTAAAACTTTAGGAACTTAATCATTTTTAAGGGCATACTTTTCGCTAACGGTGAGGCAGTGCCTTCGTCTAGCCATTTAATACGCTTGTATGTTCACGAAGCGACGAGAGTGTATTCCGATAAGTTAATCAACGCTGATGACAAGAACGCATTTCAGCAGTTATTGACAGGCTCTCTTCGTAAATTCATATCTGTAAGTCTTTCGATCGATTGAACATTGAAACATCATATATACGCTAACAAAAAAGAAACAAAAGCATTACGATCTCTACTTTCAAATTATCAATAAACGAACAATAATTGCACAATAAATTAATTCGTACGTTCATACTACAATTACCGATACAATTAATTCAATAATATACAAATTGTGGCAATAAATGATATGTTCGTCTTGAACATTTCATTTGTTTGGAATAATATAACAAAAATGTTAGGTGAACAGTTTTCATATGGGCATACCCATAGGGGAGACTTCAATATCATCACTATTTTTTAAATGGAATAATAAAGAAAATATTTAAGGTGGATATTGTCCCAGTCTGTATATACAGGGTGTCTCAGTCTTTTTCGAACAAATGCTAAAATATAAATAGGCTTGAAAATGGTTCATTAAAAAATTATGAGAAAAATATTGGTTAGGAATATTTATCTGCATACATTAGCTCCATTTCGAAGTTGTCGCCTATTTTTGTAAATACAGCATTGAAAAGACAAAATTCAGAAACGAGAAATTCAACGAAATAGTAAATATATTTTTGATAAATAAGTACATATAAGAGAAATACCACTAACGTTATTTCTACATCGGACGAAAATCAGTCCATTGTCACTTCATATTTTTCTCATAATATTTTCAATAAAACATTTATATATTTATTATAATTTCAGGAAATGGATGAGACTACTATCTTCGCTGAACCAATCATATTTTGTCATTTCGCTGAAGGCATAGGTGAGCCGAAATATATGCCAATAAAAGATTGGCAACAGTTAACAAAACTGTTAGACGAGGCTTTACATAATTACAACGATCTGGTAAATATAATCGTTGTGATTAAGACTCGACATTTCAATGTAAAAATCCTGTTGTATGATTTCCAACTTACTGAAATTGTTTGAGAAGGCAATACATAAAAGTCTATGGTATATTAATTATTAATTTGAGACACAAAGATACTTAAGAAAGCTTAATTAATTGAATGCACAATGTTGCTTCTTGTTGTTACACAATCGAATGCAAGAACTTCTGTCAGATCTTTTTAGCTTTTATATTGAAACAGGTAGCGGCGATGAATTTAATATTATTCGACGATGCCATGTATCAAGTATGTCAAATAAATCGTATTTTGGAGTCACCAAGGGGAAACGCTCTTTTGGTAGGAGTTGGTGGAAGCGGAAAACAATCGCTTTCCTGTCTTGCATCTTTCATCTCAACGTTAGAGGTACTTTAATTTAATTAAGCATAATATCTTAAAGCTGCTAGCTATCTTATAAGACATATTCTCCATTTAATCAACGTATTCCAAATAAATTAAAATCGCACACATGAGTGACATTAATTTTTAATTAAATAATTTTTAACTGAATTTCATCTTTATTGTAATATATTAAACAAAGAGTTAAACTAATATCTCCAGCGGTAAATTTTAAATTTCTAGTTTCGGTTTCATTAATTAAACGACTTTGATAATGTAGACATTTTTGTGGTTGATATTCGGCACTTAACGTGTTAAGTGGATGTCAATTGATAAATACACGTAACGTTTGAATGATTTTCCTTATTTAAATGCATGCAAAAGTTTTGAAAAAGGTATAACATATCACAGCTATCGATTTGCATTTTTGCGAATTTTTTGTGATTTTACAATTGAAAATCCTGTGTGTGAAAAATAAGAAACTCGAAAAAATGTGAAGAAATGCAAATTTTTTTATAGAAATTAGAAGATCACTACGATCATATTTTTACAGTAGCAACATATCATTGCAATAATCATTTCAGAAATGTTTTCAAATTAAAACCGATTTTTTCTTGCACTTATAAGTTATTCAAAAGCCAGTGTATGATAAATAGAGCCCTTAATTTATCTTCAAACACAGATCGCAGGCATTTGTTTTTAAACAACATCCGTATTTAAAGCACGAGTCTCGAGGCTTGTATCTCATTAGTTTTAGTCAAAAAGCTTACATACACAGTAGTTTTAACATAATCAAATTGTATGCCCAGATACACTGTCAATATATACTGCCAAATGATACGACTATAATAGATATCATTTCATAATAAACGAATTGAAAAATAAAATGTAATTAAATTTGTTACAGAATGTGTTACAGTTTTCAATTTTCATGCGATGGAATTGAATTTTCAGACTCGTAAAATTAACATAAAATTAACTTTACATATCAACTTTTTATTCGTTGATACTACACATTTAGATACATGTCTTCATGTCAACTATTAAGCAAATTGTATTAACATTTCGCGTGTCGCAACTTTATACCGATATTTTGATTACTTTCGACTGCCAGAAAGAAAGTTGCAATCAGTATCGGTAAATATAAAGTATCGAAAGAATGTGGTAGGACTAATTCACCGTAAGCTTCTTGCTGTACATAAAACAAATATTGCCTGTAAAATATGGAATATAGTTCGAGATGACGTAATGATGTAAAATTTAACTTGCAAAAAAAAAACATTTACACAGGTGTTCCAAATGCAATTAAGAACAGGATATTCGATGAGCGACATGCGGACTGATTTAGCAGGATTATACTTGAGAGCAGGATTAAAATCAATTGGAATTACTTTCTTAATGACCGACTCGCACGTCGCCGATGAAAGATTCTTGGTTCTGATAAATGACATGTTGGCCTTTGGTGAGATTTCCGAATTATTCGCAGACGACGAAGTCGATAACATTGTGAATGGCGTAAGAAATGAGGTAACGCTGAATCTTGATAAAGAAATGAACGTCCGAATTTCTTTTTCGAGAAATATTTTCCATCTTATGACAACATTTACTTCTATTTTTATCTCCACCTTTCTGTTTTCGCGTATTGTTCTCGTCCTTCTTTACATTGTTACATACGGAGATTTTTCGTGCGTTTTCGGAGACTTTTCCCATCTCCCTTTTATGACCTACCCACGAGCCCTACAAAGGGTCTTTCGTTAGGAAAAACATTCGCCCCTTACCAAACCACTGTGCCGCCATATGTGGACCGATTTTTAGAGTATAAAAAGGATATTTTTTCAAAAATACTAATACGATTTAGGTGAAACAAACCGGCATGTTGGACACCAACGAGAATTGCTGGAAATTTTTTATCGATCGAGTTCGAATTCGATTGAAATGTGTCCTATGTTTTTCACCCGTTGGATCAACTTTACGGAACAGAGCCAGACAGTTTCCAGCGATCGTGAACAATACATCGATCAATTGGGTCCAAAGCTGGCCGCTGGAAGCTCTGAAATCGGTTTCAGCTAGGTTCCTAGAAGTAAGAATATTTTTTCAAAAATAGCCTAAGCAAAATGCAGAATTTAACATACTTCAACCTACAAGGTATATTAAACGATTGAAAATGATTGATTCTCGATCGTCCCTTCGAATGAAGGAATAAGCTAATAAAATTGCGCTAATAAAATTCATGCTTTCGTATTTAAATTGTTCACATTCTCTTGATTGACATGAGCACTCATTCCTTTAAAAACAATTTTATATATAAACGTTCTATACAATTCGTTTTCAGTAATTATAAATTTTATTATTCTGCAGTTTATTATAGTTTTATTAATCATTTTCTGCGACCAGTAAGTTATGGCAAGACTGCGAATTTTATGCATTTATGACAAGAATAAGTAGATCAAATATAAAATAGTAAAACTATTTAAAGAAGATCAAAATATTATTTTTTACTTAATAACATAATTAATGAAAGAAGGGAATGTTTATGTAGCTTCTCTATACTTTACAATTAATACGGACAACTTTTGTTTTATAATTTGTATTCACTAATAATAATGATAATAAGTGCTCGACTATATATATAAAAATAACATAACATGATCACATTTGTTGATTTATAATTTGATTATATTACTACAGTAGTACATTATTCTTCCGTTTATTTTCATTCGATCCTTAATATATTATTCGAATTCCGTTCCCATATTATTTAAAGAGACAATTCAACTGCTGAATTTCCTGTACATTAATATCGTTCCTCGACACTTAATTCATTATGCCGACCGGAAGACGCGTTGTATTCTGTAATGATCTAAACTTATAAAGTGATTCGCTTCCTCAATTACACTTTTTACAGTTCCTACATATCATTTCCTCCAAGAGCAGACGAAGATTAATATTTAATTAAACAGATCATCTCTAATATTAACAGATCATTTCTATATTAACAGATCATTTCTATATTATTTGTTAGTTTTCCGCAGTTCTTTGATTCAGTCGACGTTCGTCGATTACAGGGATTAGAAGAACTTCCGAAAGAGTATAAACAATCGGCGTCGGAGTTTATGTCGTTCGTGCATACCAGCGTCAACGAAATCTCCGCGCTGTATTTGCAAAACGAGAGGAGATACAATTATACTACACCGAAATCTTTCCTAGAACAAATTGCTTTGTACACGAAATTACTTATAGAGAGAACTTACGATTTGAAAGCAATGATAGAACGATTAAAGAGTGGTTTGGACAAGCTGGAATCCTGTGCCGGTCAGGTAAATAAATTTTTCGAACTAACCGCATGTAATTGCATCTGCTCTTTCGATCTATCGTATAATAAAAAAAGAATAGTTGAAATACGAAACAATAACGTTGTCAGAAGAATTTAAAATTAATTAATTTAAGAATGCAAAATTATTAATGGAAGAAATTCATTTACACGCAAACGATGCATACTATGTTTATCTTGCGCAATGATCTGCAATGTGATTATAATAATTTTGGCTTTTAGCTCCTTCAATCATTAATCGGGCATTTCGATAACACAACGTTTTTTTCACTCTTAAAACCAATTCTTTTAAACTTTTTTTCCTTCAGTATAAAAGTGGAGCGCCTAATTTCATTGGATGTTACAAAAGATTTTATTTATCAGTCTTTTTTCTACCTTTAATAGTAACTACCTTTGCTACCTTTATCTTAAACGTTTGACTTAAAAAGAACACCCTATATAATCTAGATTCATTTAAATATGGTCACGTTTCACGTAATCTCCATTGGGAAAGCAACAGCAGAACCTGTATACAGGGTGTCCCAAAAATGTCTCGTAATCCGGAAATGGGGGGTTCCTGAGATAATTTGAAATAACTTTTTCCTTAGCGAAAATGCAACTGCGGCTTTGTCTATGAGTTATTAACGAAAAACACTGGCCAATGAGAGACGAGCTGGACTAGCACGAAGCGGCCCAACAAACAAGCATATGAAACCGCCCATTGACTTGACCGTCTCGCGCTAGCTGATCTCGCCTATCAATGGTCATTTTTTTAAATTAATAATTCGTAAACAAAGCCGCGGATTTCATTTTCGCTACTGAAAAAGTTACCTCAAATGACCTCAGGAACCCCCCATTTCCGGATTGCGAGACACTTTAAAGATACCCTGTAGCCCTCGTGCGAGGTACCTTTGTGCTTGCATTCCCCCTCCTACTAGCTGCCTCACTGCCGCAGCTATCGGCCGCTATTAGTCGAAAACGATGACGAAGATCGACGGCGGTCGCTAGTGACCAATAGCTGCGGCAGTGGGACAGCTAATAAGTGGGGGAATGTAAACACAAAGGTGCCTTCTTGTCGCGTGAGGACTATACATTTATTTTGCCTAATAGTAAAACCACATTATTCTCCTTACAATTAGATGAGTCATCTCTTACATTGTACATTTTAAAAATCTCTCTCTCCTTTATCTTTTTGTATTTAGAAGTATTAAAATGGAATCTATTTCTTCTCAGCAAGAATTACATGCTTCTGTGTACACGAAACAGAAAAGTGACTACAAAAAGAATTAAAAATGAATATACTAAACGATTTTCACTTGTTTTAGATGTTTTCGAAAGATTTTGTTTAGCCATTGTCAAGTAAACCAGTCCTTGTAGTGTCTGAAACAAATGCAAGTCGTATGGTCCAATTTTAAAGAACTTGTTCTCTTTGTAAATCTCAAGTATATACTGTGTCGAACAAAGAATACACAATTTTGGCAACTTGTTGAATGGTAACATTAGTTTCCGTTCGATTGGTAGGTGAGTGAGTTAAGAGTTGTGCTAGCGATCCAAGAAGTAGAATTGAAGAAGAAAAACGAAATTGCGGACAAGATTCTTACCGAAGTCCGATTCGAAAATACTAAGGCTGAAGCCGAAAAAGCCATTGGTACAGATTCAGTGTTTTACTTGCGACATTTAGATCCGTTACTTTTCCGATTAATAATAAGCATAGATTCTTTCAAATAGTATCAATGAAATGAAACATCATTCATTCGCAGTGTCCGAGGAGGAAGCAAAAATCGCAGAGATAAAAGAAGTTGTGGCAGAAAGACAGAAACGTTGTGACGAGGATTTAGCAAAAGCAGAGCCAGCTGTTCGACAAGCTGAAGCTGCCCTCGATACTCTGAATAAGGTGAAACAGATTTCTAACTAACACGGTTCATGTATTTTTAATAATAACTGAATTGCGGATCTTCATGCAAATTCTAGTTCTCGTACGTTATTTTACAAATATTCAAACACTTAACAATTAATACTGTTAATTAACAGTGTTAATAAATACCCTTCCACATGCGTAATTTAAAAATTCACACACGTCAGAAGTATATAAAGCTCCGCAGTCTAATAATAATATTATTAGAAAATATTTTATTTGTACTTTATTCAATAGTTAAAAATTATTAAATATAGAATATGTTAAAATAAATACTAAAACTTAAATACTAAATTATTTAAATTTAAATAGGTATTTAGAAACAATTTGAAAATATTTAGATAAGTGAAATTAACTTGTTTATCTTTTGCATCAGGGTTTATTAAATCGAAGATCACATTGTATTAATCTCGAAAGTAATAGAGCTAAATAAAATATAATTTTCTGTGTAGAAAAATAATTAGAGACATTTAATTAGATATAAGAAGTAACTCAATTTTATGAATGTAATAAAATACATTTTTTAAATAGCAAAACTTGTTTTAATAGCAAAAATTAATGAAGGTGTCTTAATCATTGTACAGTAAACTAGTCTCTTCAACATTAAAAAAAAATTCATGTCTTTTAGTACAGTTTGAGAAAAGTTATCGCGTTTTAAAATCTGTTCGAATACTTTTTGTTAGGGGTTGTACAACCCGTGCAGTTATGCTTTTAATGGCTATGTATTTTCGTTTTGCAATATTAGTTTACGTAAGATGCGCAACACAACTCATTCCCGCTTTGTTAAAGTAATGAAAACATTATAGAACAATCTGACTGAATTGAAATCCTTTGGGACACCGCCGGATACGGTGGCAATGGTGGCGCAGGCTGTACTCGTTCTGTTCGCTCCCAGGGGACAGATCCCTAAGGATAGAAGTTGGAAAGCGTGTAAAGCAATGATGGGAAGCGTTGACACGTTTCTCGCGCAACTTCGAAATTACGACAAGGAAAACATTCATGCCGACGTTGTCAAAGCCATCCAACCTTACATCAATAATAAAGGTAAAACTGCGGATTTTATGCATTTATGATAAGAATGAGTAGCTGTAATTTTAAGGAGAAGAAAGAAAAAAAGAACTTAAGTGCATCGATATATTCCATTCCACCTATTATTATTATCAAAAAGAAGAAGAAGAAGTTCCTAAGTGACACGCCCGCGATTCTTGCAACAAATGTAAACAATTTTTATTTTGTATAAAAATCCGCAGTCTAATGATTAATAATTAGACCGCGGATCTTTATGCATGTCTTTATGCATGTTCTTTTCGTCGATTGCAAAACGTAGAAGCCAAGCACAACTTTTTCTGTTTTCTTTAATAATTTTCATAAGTTCGAACTAAGAGAACGACATTCGTAGACTCGTTCAGTGGCTTCACTGTTTTAAATTACACCTACTCATTTTTGCCATAAACGCATAAAATCCGCAGTCGATTTGTAATACTTATCACATGCTATCGTAATTGAGAATTTATAATTATTTGTTAATTTAAGAGTACTCATTCGAACTATAATAATTAGAACTTTTATCAGAACTTTTTCATTGAAATGCATTTTAAATATCTGTATCATCCATCATAAACAAGGTATAATATGATATTATACACACACACGCACGCACGCACACACACGAGGTATAATATGATATCGTGCACATATAACAACCACATTCATATCCTAATTTTTAAGTACTATTTGATTACAATTAATTAAAATAAATACTAATTGTAATAGTAACTAGAATTATACGTGTAGATTCACGGTTTCGTAAAAACATTTAATTGATAAATGAATCATGATATATTAACAATTAAGAATGGTATTCACAGCTAACAAAAGGGTGTAAGGTTGAATATTTAAACTTACTCAGACATTTAAAATTAAGATAAACAAATAACCGATGTATTCTACTACTGAAACTGTGAATAATCTATGCAATTAAATTGTTCTAGAATTCGATCCAGAGATTATATATTCAAAATCTCAGGCAGCCGCTGGTCTCTGCAGTTGGGTTAGAAACATCATGGTTTTTCATTACATCAACGAAACTGTAAAACCATTAAGGGCTGCGCTTGCACAAGCCAATTCGGAGCTAAAGTCTGCAATGGACCATCTGAACTCTTTACGAGCACGACTGGCGGTATATTGTTTCCAATTTTCAATTCATCGTCATTAACTGATATTTCCCTAACTACCACATACTTAAAAGATTATTAATTCCACGTGTCAGACGATCAAATTCGAAAACTAATTGAAATTTCAAAAATATCAGCTCTACGAGTCAAACATTTCGAATATCTTCACTTTCGATTGATTCGAATCACTTTCGAATTAATATATTCGAAGATTAATTTTTGAAAAAACTGAGCTCTCGCAGAGAAATCTTTTATTTTGAAATTAAGAAGTTTATCTTCGATAAGAAAATATTTTATAATTATAGTTTATAATAATTCGACTCAATCGAATGGTTTCAATTGATTTTAAAAGTTTGCGTGCTCTCTGATTGTACGAATATAATAATTTTCGTTGGCACATAAGGTGTAATTATTGAGAATGTTGCCTTCTTCGCCGAGTTTGGAGACCTTGAAATACGTTGTCAAGGTCATCAAAGTCGGAGAAGAAGACAACCTTTTAAATACTATTGCACGTAATTATAATTACAAAAGAGACGTAATTTTTCTGAGATAATAGAATAGTTGAGCATTCCAATTAATTTGTAGGAGCTACAAAAAGTGCTCGATGCTTTGGGTGAACGAATGAATACAGCTTTGCAAGAGAAACAGAAATGTCAGGATGAAGCGGACGCCACTGCCTTAACTATCGATCTTGCAAACAGATTGGTTAACGGTTTAGCGTCCGAAAAAATTCGTTGGACTGAGACCGTTGAAACGTTAGTAATTTTCTAGGCAACAATATACAGAGTGTCCCAAATGTTATTCAAAATCGGGAAATGAGGAGTTTCGGAAGTCATTTGAAGTAACTTTTTCCTTAGCGCAAATGCAATCCGCAGATTGCATTGAGAGCTCGCCACTCATCGGTCAGTGTTTTTCGTTAATAACTCGTAAACAAAGCCGCGGATTGCATTTGCGTTAAAGAAAAAGTTACTTCAAACGATCTCAGGAACCCCTCGTTTCCTGATTTTGAGTAAATTTTGGAACACCCTGTATATACGAAATAAATATCCGACTACATTTATTGTTAATAATCCTTAGAAAAAATTGTTATGTAATTAAACAATGAAACAAATAAACATTATCCGAAGATAACTATAAATTTAATTCTAACAAATAAAAGCCATTAGATAGCTGTAATTATTGAAACGAATGGAAATTATGCAGCATTTAAAGATTAATCAATTTAATACATTTAGATTGAAAAATTCAGGAGTAACTGTTCCGGGAGATATTCTTCTTGTGACAGCATTCCTTTCATACATGGGATGCTTTACACGGAAGTACAGGCGTGATTTGATGGACAACAATTGGTTGCCATTTTTGGAGAATTTAGATGTGAAAATACCAAAGACTCCAGACTTGGACATTTTGGGATTACTGTCTGACGATGCACAAATTGCTCAATGGAACAACGAAGGTGACTTTTTGAAATGTTTACGCGTTATGTTATTTAGCATTATTAACCCTTTGCACTCGAAGCCATTTTATCTCTAAATCCAGACCAGTCTTTCTGATCTACAGTATTTCCATTTTATATGACTTGTTGCATTTCTTGTGCATTTCTTGCAGCCTTGTGACTCATACAACAGTTATACTTTTGACAGTTTTTTTTTAATATAAATAAATACGACAATGTGTAAATTATTTTGGAGTTTGAAACGTGATTCAACAATTTTTAGAGGCGCCTCAGAATCACCACTCGAGTGCAAATAGTTAACCCTTTGAATTAAAATATGTTGTTGCGTCTAAGGAAAAGGGTTGAATTGACCCAACGTTCCATATTTCCAGGAAATATGTCCAATGAATAAATGCGGTTCGTTTAATTGTTACAATTTATTATCTCAATCATGCTTTAGACTTCTACAATGTAATTTTAATATGTACAGGATGGATTGTATAACTTGCACACCTCAAAGTATGTGCTTTTAAATCATGCATCTAATTAAAAAGTATTAAATAGAAAAGTTGTAGAAGAGAAAAAACGTGGTGATGTCGTATTTTCTTTTCTTTTTTTTGTACATAATGTAGTTTTCGAAATTTCAAGGCTAATTTCTCTTTTTTANATTGCATTTGCGTTAAAGAAAAAGTTACTTCAAACGATCTCAGGAACCCCTCGTTTCCTGATTTTGAGTAAATTTTGGAACACCCTGTATATACGAAATAAATATCCGACTACATTTATTGTTAATAATCCTTAGAAAAAATTGTTATGTAATTAAACAATGAAACAAATAAACATTATCCGAAGATAACTATAAATTTAATTCTAACAAATAAAAGCCATTAGATAGCTGTAATTATTGAAACGAATGGAAATTATGCAGCATTTAAAGATTAATCAATTTAATACATTTAGATTGAAAAATTCAGGAGTAACTGTTCCGGGAGATATTCTTCTTGTGACAGCATTCCTTTCATACATGGGATGCTTTACACGGAAGTACAGGCGTGATTTGATGGACAACAATTGGTTGCCATTTTTGGAGAATTTAGATGTGAAAATACCAAAGACTCCAGACTTGGACATTTTGGGATTACTGTCTGACGATGCACAAATTGCTCAATGGAACAACGAAGGTGACTTTTTGAAATGTTTACGCGTTATGTTATTTAGCATTATTAACCCTTTGCACTCGAAGCCATTTTATCTCTAAATCCAGACCAGTCTTTCTGATCTACAGTATTTCCATTTTATATGACTTGTTGCATTTCTTGTGCATTTCTTGCAGCCTTGTGACTCATACAACAGTTATACTTTTGACAGTTTTTTTTTAATATAAATAAATACGACAATGTGTAAATTATTTTGGAGTTTGAAACGTGATTCAACAATTTTTAGAGGCGCCTCAGAATCACCACTCGAGTGCAAATAGTTAACCCTTTGAATTAAAATATGTTGTTGCGTCTAAGGAAAAGGGTTGAATTGACCCAACGTTCCATATTTCCAGGAAATATGTCCAATGAATAAATGCGGTTCGTTTAATTGTTACAATTTATTATCTCAATCATGCTTTAGACTTCTACAATGTAATTTTAATATGTACAGGATGGATTGTATAACTTGCACACCTCAAAGTATGTGCTTTTAAATCATGCATCTAATTAAAAAGTATTAAATAGAAAAGTTGTAGAAGAGAAAAAACGTGGTGATGTCGTATTTTCTTTTCTTTTTTTTGTACATAATGTAGTTTTCGAAATTTCAAGGCTAATTTCTCTTTTTTAAACCGACAAGGTATATGTTTCTCATCGAAAAAAATTCGAAACATTCGAAATTCGACGAAAATACATCAGGGATTTACCAAACATTAACTAATTTTAATAAGCAGTAAATTTGAACGTAAAACGCGTTGTTTAAGGGCTTCCAAACGATAAGATGTCTTCCGAGAACGCGACGATTTTAATGAATTCGTCAAGATGGCCGCTGATGATAGATCCGCAGCTGCAAGGATTGAAATGGATCAAAAACCGTTATGGGGACGACTTAAAAGTGCTCAGGCTGACTCAACACAATTACTTAAGCGTCGTTGAGATCGCGATCGCAAATGGAGAAACCGTTTTAATTGAGAACATTATGGAAGGAATTGATCCTGTATTGGACCCTGTCATTAAACGGGATTTAATAAAAAAAGGAAGGTATATTTCTCCCTTTTGTAGACCAATAATACTAGATTGTTAATTAATGTTTTCAAATGAAAACAATTTATAGGCTAATAATATATATATATTAGATTGATAACTAAGGTTTTCAAATGAAAACAATTTGAAACAAAAACGAAGCAAGATCGGTTTACCAACCGAATATTTGTTTATCAAGCAAAAAAATTGTCAAAGCTTCCGTTAAATTTATTATAAATTAACCTTCATTCTTTACATCTATTTTCTAGTTGATAATAAGACCAATTCCGTAAGTGTTACGAACAAATTTTTCTTAGGAAGGTAGTATTATCTAGTAGTAGAACTTTTCAATCAAATTATACGATCGCAAATTTAATCTATACGATGATGCTAGTGTAAAAGGTTACAGATATAGTAATTTCATTCGATGCAACATATTTTTCTAAAGGGCTATAAGAATTTGGGACAAAGAAATCGATTACGATCACAACTTTCGGCTGATTCTACAAACAAAATTGGCCAATCCTCATTACAAGCCCGAGATACAGGCACAGACCACGCTAATCAATTTCACCGTAACAAAGGACGGTTTGGAAGAACAACTATTAGGGGATGTCGTTAAAGCTGAAAGGCCTGATTTAGAATCCAAAAAGGCAGAGCTGACCACGCAACAGAATACATTTAAAATAACGTTAAAGGTTTTGGAGGACGACCTACTGCACAGGTATTGCTTTCTTGAAGCATTTTATTCCATTCAACTGATAGCATATCCTACAAACAATATTTTTCTCAAGTTTCCTAATGATTTAATGATTTCTTTAATACTCAGACAACGGTATCAGGTCTATTTGAACTACGAATATAAATATTCTTAATTGATAATTCAATTTTTGATAATTAATTGAAATTTTCACATATTCCAATAAGGTCTACAGATGAACTAACGCGTTTCCAGGTACAATGAAAAATGTTAATAAATATTAACAAATATTATAATTAACTCAAAAGGATATTCTGATTTCGAATACCATTTTTCAAACAATTTTTCGGAATTCTTTCTAAAAGAACTGTTAAACTTTCGCTTTAGGTTTGACATATTCGTTTATGTGTACTTAATGAGCATGATCAATTTTTATAAGGGAAAACAAAAATTGGGTGTATTATATTCAGTTTCGTTGAGTGTTTTACAAAAATTGCGTTGATACAAACATTTATTATTATTTTGCAAATTCAAACAAATCTTTTCGACGACATAGCATCGAAGTGATATAGACTATTCATCGGAGAAAACATATTCTTTGAAATTTTTGTTATTGCAATTTGTAATCGAAATTTCTCTTTTTCAACTACCGAAAGCGTATGGAAGCTCTAAGCAAACGTAATTTTTCAACGAATTACAAGTTTTTCAATTCCATCACAGCTGAAATTTAATTCTCGTTCAAATTTTTTTGTCTACAAGATTAGTTACATAGCACATAAGCTGTTAGTATTAGTATATTAAAGTTACTGAGATGAATTTTGTTTTATTCTATTCAGAGTTCATTATAAATAATTAATAGTGTTTGTCTCAATGAAAATGGAAACCTTTACTATTACAGCACTTTCTTTGCAGATCATGACTTTCTAATACTTTACCTTAACAAAAACAATGTTACTTCAAACTTCGACGCGCGTATAGTCCTCACGCGACAAGATAGCACTTCTGTGTTTACATCACCGCCCCCCTTATTAGCTACTCCATTACCACAACTATCGCTATTGATCTAAAACCATGATGAAGACCGCCAATAGTCGACCAATAGCGACCGCTGCGGCAGTGGGGCAGCTAGTAAGAGGGGGAATATAAGCACAAAAGTGCCTTCTTGTCGCGTGAGGAGTATAGCTCAGTCATTTTACATAAAATATAATTATTCTTAAAGATTATCAACAGCAGGACCAAATATTTTAAGTGACGTAGACCTGGTAATAAACCTCGAGACCACAAAGAAGACTGCCGCGGAAATTCAAATAAAGGTCGCCGAAGCTAAAGTGACTTCTCTGAAAATAGACGAAGCTCGAGAAATTTATCGCATAGTGGCAACCAGAGCTAGCCTTTTGTACTTCGTTTTAAATGATCTCAGCAAAATCAACATGCTCTACCAATTCTCCCTGAAGGCTTTCAGTGTGGTTTTCCAAAATGCCATTAGATTTGCGGAGGAAGCGGAGGCGTTGCCAACTCGTGTCGCCAATTTGATCGACAGCATCACCTATTTAGTTTTCATTTACACGAGCAGAGGATTATTTGAAAATGACAAACTGACTTTTCTTTGTCATATGACAATTCAGGTAATATTATGTTTTTTTACATTGTTGACGAACCAAACCTAATATATCAATATTCTCAAATTGTGTTCAATTCTACGTTTTAGAATGTAGCTTTGCGTTTGTTACCATAATTAAACCATTAAACCATTATCGTTAACAATTACACAATTTATTTAACAATGTTCGTCATCGAATATTTTGATGAAATTGCACTTTTCTCATCTCAGAAATGTACTTTGCCAAATATTAAATTTATACCATGCATCAAATTTCAAACTGTATCAGCATCAATTGCTTCTGTATAAAAAATACCGGTTAGCAAAGAAAAAGACGCTGGCAAATAACGTTTGAACAAATCTCATTTTTATAAATTAACATGTTTCATAGTAATTTCGTAAATAATAATGGAATAAAATACATGACGTCAAAGTGACATAATTTTGTTGTACCGCGCGATTAAAACGTTTCCAGATTTTTATGCAATCGGAAGAAATAACACAATCCGAGCTCGATTTTCTTCTACGATTTCCATACATGATCGATCTAACCAGTCCTGTAGATTTTCTGACAAATGTTGGCTGGGGCGGTATCAAATATTTGAGCCAAATGGATGACTTTCGAAATTTAGAGAAAGATATTGAAGGTGCAGCGAAGAGATGGAAAAAGTTCGCCGAATCAGAAACGCCGGAGCGCGAGAATTTTCCGCAGGACTGGAAAAACAAAACTGCTCTGCAACGACTGTGCATTATGAGATGCCTTAGGCTAGATCGAATGACTTACGCGCTCAGGTTTGTTTATTGACAATAATGCACAACGATATGTATAGTAGAAAGTTTTAGCGAAGCACTTCAATGTATGTCTTATCCACTGTTCTATGATAAAGCTTATTGGGATAAGAAAGATTTTAATTGTTATAACATTATGAATCGTTTTTCCATCTTCTTCGTTTATAAACTATTTAAAAATATTACAAGCTATTGAGCTTATCATCTCGGTGAATAATGTACATTAACAAATTTTCAACAAAACATATTCAATAATCTAGAAAATATTAGCAAAGGAGATCATATTAGCTATGCTAGCGCCATCTCTGAATTTCTTAAAATTTCGTTGTCATCATATTTCTAATAAAAGAATTACACTACAATTTTTACATTTAGCACATTTTCGCAACTGTTAAAAAGACATGTGAAATAAGTTATAAATTAACTATAAAGTTAAACGATACATTAAACATTACAATTGTCAGTAAATAACAACAATATTTGATTCTCGCAATAAGAAAAATGAGACTTACACCATTGTGATTTTGACCCCCACAATTGTACATATAACATCTTTATAAAATAAATTTTCGAACCTAAATCGTGGGAACTGTTTTTGTTACTAAATAAACAGAATGGCAGTTATGAGAGAATACAAGTCGAATATTTATTCGTACTCTATAACATGCGTCGAGTTTAATTGCAATCAGCAACTTTAAATTGCGTGGCGTAACTTGTTAGCATTTTGTTTTTAAAATTCAAAATAAATATTTATGAGAAACGTCTTCTTTATCAATTATATCACAATTTTAATCCTCATTATTACACGATCATATAATAACTCTAATTATCTGCAATAGAGTAATTAATAGACTGCGGATTTTATGTATTTATAAAAAAAAAGTGGGTATTTGGAACGGCAAACAGTTGAAAGATTAAAAATATTTAACAATGCCAATGCAATGTTACTTTCGACCTACTAAAATTATTAAGAAAAAAATTCGACTTTTAAGTTGCTCCTATTTTTTGCAACAGATACAGACAATTTTTATTTTGCACAAAGATTCGCAGTCTAGCAATTAATAAATCCATTAACGAAGACTGAACTAAAAAAATGTTTGTAGGTGCTTCGTAGAGGAAAAACTGGGTTCAAAATTTGTAGAATCTAGATCTCCACCTTTTCACAAATCTTTCGAGGAAACGAGCTCAATTACGCCTGTATTCTTTATTCTTTCACCAGGTGTCGATCCTCTGAAGGTAAATAATTTTGCAAATATTACGTACTTCGTAGCATTTTTAAATCCTTTAAACAATTCTTAATCAATGTGCTAAAACACTCATTTGAACATTTGATCAATCAGGAATTAACGTATCAGAAAATGATACTTCTGACAGAAAACGAAATCCAGTAAAATATGGTTAATATACGGGGTGTTTTTTATAAATCAAACATCTAAATTATTTATGTTACTATTAAAGATAGGAAAAAGTGGCAAAGATGGACTTGGTATCAAGATGTGCATCTGATGCCCACATCTGCTTTTTTACGATGCGAAGATGTATTCGGAATCGAGACGAGTTGAGCGATCTATGAAGCTACATATAACCTTGAAATGATCTCCAAGATGAAAATTCATACTATTCACATTTTTCAAAGCCACCTTCGCCACTTTTTTCTATCTTTGTTAACAACAGAGACAATTTGGATGTCCGATTCAAAAAGAAGATTCAGTGTGCAACCTTACAAATGCTCACTATTAATTATTAATTAATTATAACTATTTATTTATTAATTCATAATTAATAAATAAGTAGTCTATACACGGTAATGTAATTGTTCGATAAATGTGAACAGCTGAATCAAACTGCAGTTATACACCGAGTAACGATAATATTCGGATATCCTTTAAAACGCGACAACTCTTCTCAAATTGTACTAAGTAACTTGAATTTTTTGGAAATGTTAAACCGAAAAGATGAGAGAATGATGTTTTTTCAACAACGCATTGTTCGTTGTGAGCTCAGCTAGAAAAATTGGAAAAACATGATTTTTTTTCATTTTTGTTGTCATCCCAACCAGCTGCAATTTTTACAAAATTTTGTTAAAGATTCTTCAATTAAATACATATAGTCTAACATCTTTTAAAACATTCTGAAAACAGTCATTGCGTTTTAAAAAGTGTCCGAATGTTATCGTTGCTCACTGTACAAGATCTGTCCCAAAACTAACCGACCTCTGCTGACAAACCTGGAAGTTCTTTTCTTTCATGGCTGGCAGCAACTGCGTCGCAGTTAGTTTCATTGCATTCAGCCTTTCGATGGTTTTCTCAGTTTTGGGAATAACCAACAATAGTACGGGGCTAGATCCAGGCTATACCGGGGCTGCCGAAGCTGAAGAACGCCATGCTTTGTCTACGGTACGAACAGGTACGATCAAGCTTGATGCAAATTCTTCGCTCGACTCGCTCCATCATCGTGTAATGCAACGTTCGGGAAATTTCACATTCACAAAACTGCGTATTGCTGTCGCCTGAATGGTTTTAAATTTCCATTAATCGGTAAAGGTAATTCTAAAGGACCCCCCCGCCCCCCAAGCGCTTCATACCTGCTCTTTATATGGGGAATATCCTACGCAGAGGTCAGGTACTTTTGGAACAGATCTCGTATATTATAAATTTCAAAATAAAATCACTGATATTAAATATTCGCTTTCCTGATATACGGGGTGAGTCTCGTAACTCGGCAGTTCGATCATAGCTTCAAATAAAACTTATATCATGAATCTTAGACCCTATTTGGTATAATACTTTTTTATGTAGAATTCAATGCTTTATCTGAGAATTCGGAAAGAAACATTAACTATTCCATTTAAAAAATTGAAGGTGACTTGCGTATCTTGATAAAAAAGCAAAATAACATGAGACTAATTAGAATACTATATATCCCCCTAGAAGCCATGTAACTTTTATCTGAAACATTTTTTCGTATAACAAATATTAGTTATTTGAAATCGTCATAGTATGAGAATTGTCCAGTATGTTTAAGGCTCACAATCAGTATAATGCAGACATAATAACAGCGCGAATCTTTAGGATGTTGAAAAACTGGGAAAACAATTGGGTTTCACATTTGAGGGCAGAAATTTCCATAATGTGTCACTGGGTCAAGGACAAGAACCAGTGGCCGAGGAAGCGATGACTATTTCGGCGAACGAAGGACACTGGGTGATTTTGCAAAACGTTCATTTAGTGAAGAAATGGTTGCCTACGTTAGAAAAAAGAATGGAACAATTATCAGAAAATCCTCATATCGATTATCGATTGTTTATTAGTGCTGAACCCAGCCCAGATCCTCGAGAATCGCTGATACCGCAGGTAATTTGACTCTCTGATCTCAAAATGTTGTAGAACGTTTGCAAAATTATTATTTCAAGAAAAATGTTGATATACAGTGGTGTGCATAATTATGAACTCAAAGTAACTAATTACATTGTTACTGATATCTAAACGAAAACTTAACAAAATACCATATTTGTATATCTCTATTTTCTATTATTTCTAATATACATATAAATATACAAATACGATATTTTCTTAAGTTTTTTTTTAAATGTACAGAATGTCTCAGCTAAAGAAGATCGTTTGAATAATTATAAGTGCTGTGGATAGTTATAAACTCAAGGTAACTTTGACATTTTTACCGATATTTAAACAAAAACCAAAAAAAAGCTATACTTGTATATTTCTATTTTCTATTGCTTTTAATATAGCCAAAAATATCGCTAAAAATGTAAATGTTACTTTGATAGTTTTACTATAATTATTCACACCCTTGTATACTTTTATTGGAAACAGTACGTCCTCTTTTTTTATTAACTGTTTCATATGTTCAGGGAATTCTGGAATCCGCTATAAAAATCACGAACGAACCACCCTCAGGGATCCAGGCAAACATTCACAAAGCATTGGACAATTTTAGTCAAGAAACTTTAGAATCCTGCAGCAAAGAAACCGAGTTCAAAACTATATTATTTGCTCTGTGTTATTATCATGCTGTGCTTGCTGAACGCAGAAAATTCGGTGCCCAGGGATGGAATAGAGTACCAACTTTTTGAACAATTTAATAGTAACATGTTAAATATTAATGACGCGTCGGTCATGTCTAACTGATGTTAGATAATTCATTTTTATTATGATATATTTGAATAAATTTAATTTTTCTAGAATTCTTAAAAAGTACAAGAATTAAGGGAGTATTCTGATGTTGTACTTTCAAACAATATCAATATTTTTCGTACTTTCTTAAAGTATAAGTATTATACATAGAACATATGTGCAACATAATTTATTTATTATAAAATTTATAGCACTGAATGGGACCACGTATTTATTCTCTCCCTTTTCTAGTCTTATCCATTCAATGTTGGTGATTTGACGATCAGTGTGTCGGTGTTGTTCAATTATTTGGAGAACAGTATCAAAGTGCCATGGGAAGATCTTCGCTATCTATTTGGTGAAATAATGTATGGTGGTCACATAACAGACGATTGGGACAGACGATTATGTAGAACATATTTAATGGTGTACTTGAAACCGGAATTAGTCGAAGGTAAATAATATTTATTATAAAACTATAATATTATTATATTTAAAACTGCAAAGTTGACATTCAGACGTCGTCTACGAATAATAATATTACCCATCGTTTTACATCATTGTCGATGTAAAATTCATTGATTACAACTCTGATTTTCCATTCGTAATTTCCATTCATTTCAATCCATTCGAAAGCTTTCTTAAAGCGATATCAAATTTTCTGATTGTGACCTTACAAAAATTACAAACATTTTCGTCAAAAAACACGTTCAATCATCACAAATGTATTAGGTTTATAAATATGTGAAAAAATGTCTGCATAACGATTATGACTGCCAAAAACAGACAATTTATTTTGGTGTCAGAAACCATTCTAGGTTTGAAGATTACAACCAGAAAACGAACGTTGTCTGTCACAATTAGAAGCATTACGAAACATTGAAAAATTATGAACATTTTGTAAATTATTAAGAGAAGAAAGAATTTCTTATTGAACTGTTGTTTCTTGCAAGAAAATTATTACTTTATATAAAGATCCGCAGTCTACTTATAACTCAAAGATTTTAAATAGCATTCATGGAATTCAAAATCACTTTCTAATCGAGGTTTACAAGTTTAAACAATTTTGAAAGTCTACACCAAAGAGCCTAAAAGATATTGTATTGCCATATTGTTCTCATTGTCAAAAGAACTAAAGAACAAATTTGTTTTATTATCCATTATTTATTTGTACCTATTACTTAAATAATATTGACGACTAGTTATAAAATGCAAATAATATGATGCGGCTTTCGGTTTTTTAAGCGGCAATCTTTTAAACTTAAAATTACTGAAAATTATTGTTTCTTTTATATTCAGGTGAATTATACCTGGCACCGGAATTCTTGGTGCCGCCTAATAGTGATTACTCGGCATACCACCAATATGTAGATGATTTCCTACCTAGTGAAAGCCCAGTTCTTTATGGTCTACACCCAAACGCCGAAATTGGTAATGGATTAACGCTCTTAACACGTTAAGTGTCGAATATCAGCTCCTAGAAAATCCCGCGATATCAAAATCATTAGATTAATGAATTCGAAACTGGAAAATTAAGATTTACCATAGCAAATATCGGTTTAACTCTTTTATATTCTAAAAATCCGAGTAACATCTAGTTTGTCTAGGACAGGGCTCGGAATTAACCAGCACGCAACATGAGGGATAGCCCTCACCATCCTTATGTTGCGTGCTAGTTAATTCCGAGCCCTGTGGTCTAGGATATTATATGATCGACGCGGCACTCGATCTGCTAAAATACTGTATCATTAAGTGCATGAATAGTTTCAAAATATTATTTAATAGGCAGGTCATTTACGTTTCTCTAATACAACACTCTGACTAGGATTCTTAACGTCAACCGCCGAAAACTTGTTTAAAACGTTATTGGAAATGCTGTCGCAAAGTGTAGGCGATGCGGAAGGAGACATGTCGAAGGAGGACAAAATAAAAATTATTTTGGAAGATTTATTAGATAAATTACCAGAAGAGTTTAACATGTCAGAACTTTATGGCAAGGTAACCGAGCATTTGGTTTTGTACATGTATTTTTATAAGTGTTCAATGACGTATAAGTTTTTGTCTTAAACCTCTATTGAACAAATTTTCACGTATACAAAATTAGAAATAAAAAAGTTAAGTCATCGTTTTTATTTTAGCATTTTTAAATAAAACAGTTAATATTTCTTCTCGAATTCGAATAAAATGTTGAATTATACATAAAAAGTATTACGCTAAATGAAATACAAAATACATAGTTACTACAACGTAATTTACTTTTGCTAATATCTCAGTAACTATGTATTTTAGACCCCCCCCCCCCTATACATGTATAAGGGGTTTCAAAATTATATGCCACAACTATTACAACGAGATTCAACGCCTTTTGATCGATGGAGATTTAATATAAAAAAAAGTAATCGCAAAAATTAACCTTGAGCATCATTTCCAAAATCAAATTTAAGTATTGTTGGAACATGTAGTACTTCCCAGAGGGATTAAAAGTATTAAGGAAACCATGGATCGTCAATGAATTTGGAAAAACAGGTTCCCAGAACAGGTTGCACCCTGAAAATCATGCTTAAAGTCAACTTTTCGGTAACTTTTCTGTGATATATTGAAAAATGATACATTGAAAAATATTAGGTTGAAGATCGTACGCCCTTTGTCACAGTAGCACTGCAAGAATGTGAACGAATGAACATACTGTGCGAAGAACTTAGAAGATCCCTTCGAGAATTGGATTTGGGCTTGAAAGTAATGAATAATACTACGTGACAAATGAACTCGTGCCAATATTAATCAGGAGTAATATCTGCAATAATGAAATATTGTGAAATTTATTTTATAACAGGGAGAGTTAACAATTAATGCTGAAATGGAAGATTTAGAAAATTTTATAATGATAGACGCCGTTCCTCCATCTTGGACAAAACGAGCATATCCTTCAAGTTTAGGATTAAATAGTTGGTTTGCCGATATGTTAAACAGAATAAATGATTTGTCCAATTGGACGACAGATTTTGGTGTAAGTTATTATTCCAATGAATTAAAAAATATGTAGAGTTGAATACACTATAATAATAAGTTAATTAAACAATTTGTTTTATTGTAACATCAATTTCATACATTGCAAAGAGATACCATGATAAGAACAATTAATCAAATGTAAAATTATCTAAAAGTGAAGAAATGATTAACTTTTAGCTTCCTAGTTCAGTATGGTTGGGTGGTTTTTTCAATCCACAATCGTTTTTAACTGCAATCATGCAACAAACCGCACGCAAGAACGAATGGCCATTGGACAAGATGTGTCTATACTGCGAGGTCCTGAGGAAAAACAAGGAAGAAATCACGTAATTATTCACAATTTTGCTTAATTCGGATTTATTTCCTCTCACATAGTGTTCTATTATTAATTTAAACGGATAAACATCGTGTGCAAAGACTTAAAAATAAACTATAACATCAAAAATAAAATATTAAATTATTTTATATCATACACTTTTGTTTGCCTTTTAGTTGAAGAGTATCCAAATAATTATTTATTTGTACTCACTCTAATACTCGTTCAAATAAAAGTTCAGTTGAACAATGCCCAACTTCGATATAATAATGATCGTTGAAATTTTGTAATCCCGGTTTATAGATCAGCGCCAAGAGAAGGAGCATACATAAATGGATTATATATGGATGGTGCACGATGGGATACGCAAACCTCCAGCATCGTAGATTCTCGATTCAAAGAATTATATCCATTAATGCCAGTCGTTTATGTACGAGCAATCACGCAGGATAAGCAAGATCTGAGAAATATGTATGAATGTCCTGTATACAAAACCCGATCTCGCGGACCAACTTATGTGTGGACTTTTAATTTGAAAACCAAGGAGAAAGCAGAAAAATGGATTCTTGCTGGAGTAGCCATATTATTGCAAATATAAATGTATTACAATAATTGATGATTAACTGAAGTAAATGTTATTTACTTACTCATGGAAATAATAAAAATATAGGGAAATTAGAAGAGTATACAAATGTCGTATTCTTTTCTACCATAGCTTCAATAACATTGATAAACTAGCGTTATGGCCTGATTGTAAATCATAAATCCTCAAACAGTTCTGTTTATAAGTTTGTATAACGTTTTTTGTTTTTATCTCCTTCCATAATAGTCTTCGTTATCGGTTAAACGCGTTCGGGAATTTAATAACTTCGTATTTTAAAGTATTCGAAATCTTGCCGCGAATTTAAGAATCTAATTGCCAGAATCTAAACCGATCATGACACCTATAGGTAAATTGCGGAATTTCGGAACTAATAAAAACATAACAGCAGGGAGCTTACCTGCATAATAGTGTACAGAGTGTGTACATAGACCCCTGACCCCTCTATGTATTCCTAAGTCTGTGACTAAAATCACAACTCTGATGTTACCGTGTACTGTGTACTCTGTACTTCGTGCCTGTTATTTTAAAGCAATATCGAATTGTATTGAATATTAAGATATAAGATACAAGTCACCGTTGGTGACTTTCAATAATTGAACCGGGGTGGAACAGGGAACAGAGATTCTGACCTCCAATGTTGATTTCTGTTAACAGTTGAAATTTTCACATTTATATTATGGCTGCAAAGAGTGTTACTGTACTTACGCCAAATAATCGCAGACAAAATGTTAAAGTTACACCAAACACGACGATCTTTCAAGTATGTTACTTGTAAATGTTTTAGTAGCAACATATCTAATGTCAACCTCTTATGTTAAAACAAAATGATTATTTTTAGATTTTGGAGGAAATATGCAAGAAGCATGAATATAATGTAGATGATTATGATGTAAAGTAAATATTGCATACCGAATTAATTAATATTAAATATAAAGCTGTAAAACATTTAAACTAACTGTAATATTTCATTTACTTTTCAGATACCATAATCGGATATTAGATATTAATACAATATTAAGATTCTCTTCAATACCAAACAATGCATTATTAGAAATGGCACCACGTGCTAAACCACGTCCTAGATCAACTGTCACAGTCTGTATACAATCAGAAAATGGAGAACAAATAATAAAGGAATTTATGCCTAATATAACATTAGCGGAACTTTTATTACAAGTATATCCTGATCGAGAACTTGATAAAACAGCTTTAACATACATTCATCGTGAGGTAAGAAAATATTTTTTACTCAACTTACTATATGATTTTTCTTATTCAAGTATATAATTAATATTAAATATTTATATTAAATAATTATTAACATTTTTGGTACTATATTATTTTACATGGCTGTTATAATGACATTAACATGGCAATGTATTTACATAATTTTTTTTTAATATTAATTAAATATCAATATATATTCATAATATAAAAAATTTGTTTACAATGCTACATAAATGAAAATATTAAAATTTATTAGTTTTATGTTTAAAGTTTGCAAAAGCTAGTTAATATTTTATTAACATCTATATTTACATATAATCCTCAGGCCCCCTCTATTCTCTCCTTATTTTCACTATCACATTTCTTTTACTCATTCCATCACCAGCTTTCCTCATTCACAATTATATTTATTGTTATATTGCATTCTGGTTCACTATACTCTGTTGCTAAATGTTCCATATTTCCAACAAGTTCTTCCCTCATTACTCCCTCAAAAATCATGATTTTGAATAGTTACATGAGAAATTTCTGTGTCAG